AAACAACAACAAAAAACAAAAAAAACAACAAACGCAACCACAACACCAACAAGAACAACTACAAACAGCAAGAAATGTCTTTCACCAATCCCAGTTAGTATAGTGGCTAGTATCCGACCCTGTCATGGATGATTATGATCGTGATCCGTCACCTCATAACGGTTGAGACCCGGGTTCAATTCCCGGACTGGGAGCCTCTCCTGGTCTCTACCTTGACCGGCTTTGTATGCCAGAGTTCATTTTTAACTATATTTAAAAACCGCTTTGTATGCCTGAGTTTCATTTATAACTATATTTATAAACCTTTTATTGTGTTTGATCTCCAAAATCGGACAACATCGGACAACATCGGACAATTAATAGCCTGTCCCACAATACAGCTGATCGTCACCCCTTTGATTCGTGTTTTCCATCTGGATTGCAGTCATCCAAAATGATTGGTTTTTGGTAGGAGGCGACTTTTGCGATCCTTCTTGATTTCGGTATGACAATTGAATCGCAGGCGCAATGCAATGGTAAGGCATGGAAACGTTCTTGACAGTGTTGTCGCGTTTTTGAATTTATATATTTCTAACGCTTCAATATCAAAAGTAGTAGTGTATCTATGGAACAGGCCGAACAAGAACGAAATGCCCTCAAAGAGATTCATTGCGATTCGCAAACATTATCATCAAACACCGGGGTTGTGGAACAAAACATCCTTCCAACAGCATCAGCCAGGCAAGATCAACCTCAAAACCCAAAAGCAAAGGCATGAAAAGGCTCAAAAAGGTTCGCCCAAACTTTATCAACCTTCCCAAATACTCCAACTATCGACAAAAGCTCCAAGAACAAGAACAAGCCAAACAAGAACGAAAAGCCCTCCCAGGGCTTCAAAAGCCCAAGGCACATTACCACCACCCAAACCGCCTAAACCACCCAAATCACCAAAACAGCCCGAACATCATTCAACGTTCCCAAATGTCGTTTTTCCTCGTTATCCGTTTGTAGTTTTGTTTCTGTAGCTTTGATGTAAAGCTATTGTTGTTGTTTTGGACATGCATGCTTTCATGTAACGTTTTCTTTATTTTCGTTTACTATTTTATTTATTTTTACTCCATCAGTTTCAATAAAAGAGGACTCCATGACTTTAAAACCACCTAAAACGCACATATATGACGGTTCTAACAAAAACAAAAACTCAAAAACTCAAGTCCAGCAAGTGTTCAAGAAAAGATGCAAATCAGAGCTTTGCACCCATGAATTCAGAAACCTTCAACGCTTGTCTGATACCAAGATCTAAATAAAACAC